CGGACGCCATCTTGAAAAATCGACCTCAATCCTACATATAGGCTACCGCCTATATAATATCAGACTCCAATTTACTAAACATGACTTTAATTTTGGAAGTAGGAGGCTAGGCTTCAAATTTTGGCTTTTTGTCCCTTTTGGCTCCCCATAGTTTTAGCTCTAAGGTCTCGGTTTTGTGTTCCTTGATCCTGCTCGGTCAGTTTCTGAATCCCAAGGCTATCAAAATATCTTCCTGATAGAGGTAAATGATCTTGGACGCTTATTAGATAAGTGAGATTCGTTATGATAACTGTAAATTAATGGTGCGATCGAAGCCTCATTGTTCTGTAAACTGAAAGCATTGTCATAATGACATGTAGTGTGGTGTATTATGTTGTTGTTGTTAAAGTTCGATTTATTATTATTATTATTGTGTAAACATTGATAAAAGCATGCAGTAATGAAGAGATGCAGTAGACCACAACAAGCAATCTGAAGTATGTAGAGTAGATTCGTTGGTGAGAAAATGTTGGAAATAGCTAAAATTATTATAACCCTTGTAACAATAATCATCAATGCATTGATAGCTATAGGTGTATGTTTATTTATTTGTTATTATTTACAAAATATTATGGTAAACCCTACGTGATCGAATTATCCAGCCATGATTATTGTTATTAAATTAATAATACCACAATTCTTGGATTAATAATTTATTTAGTGGGGCAGTCGATATGTATCAGTATTGTCCCTCTGTGCCCTTTGGTGCTATATATCAATTAATATCATATTTCCCTATAGACACAGTTTATACATGTTCATGTCACATGTACTATGAATATTATTATCTCTATTGTTATACTGTGTTTTGTATTGAAATATGATGTTCAAGTGCATCAAATGTTAAAGTACATCAAAACCTGTTTTAAACCTGTTTAGATTTTCCTTATAAGGTCAAAATAGCAAGCCTTATTTTGCTGAGATAAGTCCATCATTTTACTCTATCTCTTTCCTCCTCTTTAATTTCCCCCTTATATAGTTCTTACAATGGAATCTCCTGCCACACAGACTCAATACCAGTCCCTCACTAGTAGACCAGCTCAAAGCGAATATGATACAGTCAGTAAAGAGCAATCAATGCCTCCAGTCTCTCGTCAACACTCTGTACAAAGAGAGGATACGCCCCATACTGAATATGACGTGATAAATGGAACTCCAGATTTAGAATATGACACTATCCCTCAGCCCTTTCCTCTCTCTCAGACAGTGACCACTAATAATGCCTTATATGGTACACGTGGTTCTATTAATAGTATGAAGCACCCTACTCTTAAAACTGGAGATAGGTCCTATCAGTTGTCTCCTGTCCCAGAGTCATTGCTCACTTTACAAAATGATGAGAGCTGCTGCTCAAAGTATTCATCCGATGCAGTTTTGTGTGTATTTTCGTTGCTCACCATTTTGCTTTCATGTTAGCTATATACTGTAATAGAGTGATTTATTTTAGACAAATAGTCATTTTTGTAAACTATTGTCCTCCTTATCTGAGATTTTCCTCACTTTCACTCTTCTATTCTTTTTATAGGTATAACAATATCACTTGTATTATTAATAGGATTCAATGTCATTCAGCTCCAGTCATCTTTGTCACCATCAGCAGTCCTTCCTTTACCAACTGTCAGTGTATCTCCTTCTCAAGGAAGACAGACTGGCCCTCCATTGATTAGTACTACTAGTACTATGAGTTTACCTTCTCCAACACAGATGCCAACATCATCTTGTAACTGTCCATGTAAGTTTAGTCACATATTGTTTGGTAGTTATTCTTTTTGCATATTTTAAATTTCATCTATAGCTCCTGAATATGCGACAGAATTTACCGTAAGCTATTGTTGATTGGTTATATATTATTAAATATGCTTGGTTACTATAGGCAATAATGGAGTCAATATCATCTATAAGTGAAGACATAAATAAGCTGATACAAAATAAAGTAAGTTCAGTTAGGGTTTTCTATGTATTGTACTCAACTTCTTACCAGCTCATGAGGTGTGCTTTTAGTATAGAGCTTTGTAGAAAACCCTGATTCAGTGTATTTTTCAAAAATGGCTAGGAGAGAATTCTCCATTTTTAGAATTTTAAAAATATTTTTATGTTGTGTATCTAGTTTG